TTTTCTCAGTACATGTTTATTTAAATAAAATAGGAATTTGTGGTCACAGACCGAGTAAAGAATGAGTGGAGGACCCAAGTGCGACACTGACGAGGAGACGGAAACATGAGCCTTTTTTGGAGGCTGATACTTGAGCATACAAAAATAAAGCAAACAGGCTGAGACCAAACTAAGACAACTATGAATAAACTGTGACAAGACTAGAGAGACTATGAAAGCTATGAAGACTGATAATACTATGAAACATGAAGGGACACTATGACGTCTAAAACTAGACATGGGGGAGGGAACACAGACGACACCACACTGAACGCAGGAAGATGGAGGGCTTAAATACACATGAGGTGACCAGGGAAAGTGGAGACACAGCTGACTAGGACGAACATAATGATGCCACAGTGGAAGTGAAAACTAAGTACATAGAACTTCCAAAATAAAGAGGAAACATTACGAGACATGACAAGAATCTGACCACAAGCACCACAGAGACATGAAACATGACAGGTAGACATGAAGCAGGGAGACACAAAAAGATCTACAAAGCAAAGGACTAACACAGCAGCCTAGCCATCGTAGCACTTAATAAGGTCAATTAAACTGAAACTAGAACACAAGTGGAAAACAAAATAACATAAAACTCAAACACTGGGTAGTTTCATTATTTATGTAACCTGTAGTGTCTCATGTCTCGTTTCCTGAGATTAGAGGATTACCATGTTGCTCTGAAGTGGTAAGGCCCACCAACCAGCATGCGTACAGTGAACTTTAATCATCAAAACACGAGTTTAGTTAATTGATCTCCTTTTGCTCCAAAGAAGAACTTTAATATCATAAGCCACGTTTATTTCTCACCCTTTATTTCAGTTTCATTCAAAGTTTCATCTTGTAAGTATTTCGGCCATAAAGCAGTTGATTTGCACTATGGAAATATTTTAATCAATATGTGGTGCAGGTTTTGAATTATCCCAAAAGTGTATAAATTAAAATCAAACTAACATCCACACATAGCTTGTGTCATGGTCGGACGGTCCTTCCCGGGGCGACCTGCCTGTGTGTATGTGTGTGTTTCTCTCTCTCTCTCCTCCTCCCCTACCCAGTGGCTGACACACCTGCACCTAATTTGCCACCCAGCTGTCACTAATCATCCTTCGTTGTGGGCTGAGGTATTTAACTGT